TAAAAAAAGTCAAATCCAATAACTTGGACTCCAACAACACTAATAAGGTTGTCCAATTGTGTAATATGGATAAATAAAATGTTGAACAAAATAATTATATAATAGAAGGTTCCAGTTTTTGTCTTTGTTGTTTACTATTTAAGGTAAGGCAGTGTTTGGAGGAGCCCTTCAAGGAGTAGGCACTTTGATACCAAACAAGCAACGTTGGAGTACATGGAGTGATTGAATAGTCAAGTTCAAAAACTATTGAAAATTAATTCAAAATTCAAACAACAATAACTTTCAATTCGGGTGCAGTTCACATGACCCATAAGATACCATGAAAAGCTTGAGACAAGTTCTACAATTTTTGCCAGCCTCATTTACAAGATTATAGCTGTTTTCAAACTCGAAATTAGGTTGTTTCAATCGCATTACTAGTGATATGGCAACTTTTTGACCGATGATATAACAACTTAACTTTGTGTATTTTGAATACAATTTTGTCAAGCGAATACATGGTAAGTTTCAGAGAAAAAATAGGATAAAATTATTTATGATAAAATTTGAACCCTAACATAACACTTTTGATAAACGTTTTAGGGGTTAACTCTTTTTCTTCAATAAAAACCTAAATTTCTAAATCAATTTTTATGTGTGAATAATTAAATAAATACAAAATCCACTTAAAGTTTTTTAAAACTATATTTCGAGTCCTCTTTCTTTTGAATAAGAATCTTAATTTCCTCAACGATCTACATGTGTGAATAATTTGATAAATTGATCAATAATCTTCATGTTTATTATAATTATAAAGCCAAGAGTGCATAAGAGTGTGTGTATATATATGTGTGCGTGCGTAAGAGTGTATTATGTGTGTGATAAAAGTAGAGAAAAGAAAATTAAAGAGAGAAACTTAATTTAATGTTTGTTCTCAATTCCCCTTCAACAAATAATTCATACAAATGTGTATATACATTATTCATCTTTGAACTTATCTGGTTCCTTAATTTAACTATAACTTAAATACGTTAATATTTCCACAAGAAAGAAAAAGTGTAATATCTATTAAAATTAAAGACATATTTGTCTTTCAAATTCGAGATACATACCATAAATTTTCGAGCCATGTAACATTGCTCCAAAACATACCAGATTTATATGTAAGAAATCTCAATGAGAAAAAACCACAAAATTAATAATCCATATTAAAGCAGTCTACTCGATTAAATCAAACTTGACATAGACTTATGCTAAAACCACATTGCTAAACTCAAACACGACCAAGCCGAGTTGCTCTAGACCTCAAACTCACTCCCACCATCTTGCAAACGAGTCGCTAACCTAAAAAACAATTGCTTCGCAAACAGCTTACTCTTTGTAGTGATTTAGTAGATAAGTATTAAGCGTCAAAAAAAAAAAAAAAAACAAGTAAACAAGTATCATCCAGAAAGAAATCTTCCATAAGTATTTAATGTCTATCAAGATGAATTGACACAAAATGATGAAATGTATATCAAGATTGTCCAAACAATGGTTATACCATCATGCATAATTTTGTACCAACCCAACTGTGGCACATTAGGGTAAATAATTTAATTAAGCTATGTTAGGGAGCACTGCATAAGCGTAAAGGGTTTCAAAATTGAAATCAGAGAAATTTTATTCAAAATTTAAATTAAATTTTCTTTAATTTCAATTACAAAAAAATTAGTGCTTCAAAATGCAACATTATTTTCAACCATCTTTGTCACAAAAACAAGGGGTTACCAAATGCAACATTATTTTCAACCATTCAAGCTTTATAAACTCTTAGATTATGTTGGCTCGTATGATTCATTAGGTTGCCCGAGGAAGGATTGTGATCCCCCAACTAATGGCTGTCTGACCCCAAATTAAATAGACTTGAAAACTCAATTTTGTATATGTGTGTGTATATATCTATATTGCAGTTACTATATATTATGTAACTTGAAGCTGCTCATAATAACTTATCCTGTCCAACTTTCTACCCATTAACTGCCAAATTTCTTACTAATTGTCATTTTGGCCTTGAAATTGCTCTAAAAAAAAAAAAAATGAACTAGATTTAATTGTGTCGATATTTAATATATATCAGGACACTGTAAGGCCAAAAAGTTGATGATGCACTAAAGGACTAGACTTAAATGTGTTGTACTTAATAAATAAAATTCAAGAACTCAAAAAATATAAAATAGTTTTGAGAGAATTATAAAAGACAATTCTATAAAAATGAATAAGGATCACCTCTTGTTGCAACAATGTTGTGTGTGTAAAAGACATTCAATTGGTAAGGGTGACTCAACGAGTGCAAATTGTCTCAATCAACATGTGTGAGGCCACAATACATCTATTGGTAGAGGAATATATTGTCTAGACATCATGTGAAGAGAACAAAATATCAAATCAAGTCATTGAACCTTTCATTAAGCTCATAGTCCAAGCAATCCATAAGGATGACTTAGTTAAACATGCATTATCTAAACATCATGTGAGAGGCCACAATTTATCTATTGGGAGAGGAATAAATTGTCTAAACACATGTGAAAGATACAACATATCATAACTAGTCATTAATCCTTCATTAAGCTCACAATCCACATGCAACACAATATTAGAGGAATACGCCATTTGGACTCACAAGCATGGAACATCAAATATCAAGAGTAGATTGTCCTCCCATCTAACATTATACTACCACTACACTAAATCTACACTACTAGCATGAAAATAAAGTTATCTAGACTAGGGGAGAGGCACAAGCCATCAAGAATAGGCATAAACCATCAAATGAACCAAAATAGCATTCATTAAGCATATCATCTTGATAATCTCTAGATCTATTCCATCAATATACATAGACATGCATAAAAAACACTAAATCTAGAGATAAGCACATGAATATCCTACTTTAGCATACATAGACATATGGGTAGCATAGAATAGTCAATTGGAAGCATTAAACCATACAAACCATGAAATAATCAAGATTTATATATACATGAATATCAAGATGTATCATACAACACTAATCCCTCAATAATACACAAGATTAGAGTATAGAAAGCATGCTTGGGGCTAACTCTAGCCCCAAGAGGATGTCTAGACACTCCTGGTAGTGATGATCCAACCCTCAAGGGCTAACTCCATGGCTGCTCCTTGTTGGTGAAGATCTCCTCCAATGGTACTTTAGCTTCCCTCCTTCCTCCTCTCCAAGAAGAGCCTCCAAGATGATTTTCAATGTGTGCCAAGAGACTCTAGACCCCCCTCCAAAAAGTGTATCATATTCCTTATATAGGTAGGTCAAATACACCCTATGATGAGCTGTGGTCGTGCAAGGCATATTCTCCAATGATTGGGTGAAGGACGGAATAAATGAGCTGGACTTAACTTTTTCTCGCTGGAGGAAGTTCGATCGATCGAACCTTAACTTGGATCGATCGAAGATGGGTTCGATCGATCGAACTGCATCTTGGATCGATCGAAGTGGTCTGACTCCTCCGGATAAGGACAAGGCTGAGATATTTCGAAGATATTTATGGGGAAAAGGACAAAAGTGGTTGGTAGGCGTACAGCTGTGGATAAGATCAATCATTTGAATAGGACAAAATAGGGTTCGATCGATCGAAGGTGATGTTGGATCGATCGAACTTGGAATTTCAGCAAAGGCCAAGGTTGGATCTATCGAGAAGTACTGTGATCGATCATAGATGTTCGATCGATCGAACTCTAAGTTGGATCGATCGAACTTTTCAGCTGCACAACTTTGATTCCTTTTTGCTCCTTTCTTTCTCCACTTTGCTCCCTCCTTTGGTTTATCTCAGGATTGCTTCAATTAAGCTCTTATTTGGCTGAGTTAGCTCAATTTTGGGATTAGTGCCTGAAAATATAAATAACACGTAATAAGTCTAAAACGGCAAAGTAAGATAGATAAAGGTACTAGAATGCTTAAGCTTAATGGGTTTAAATGCGCACTTTTCAGTGCTCATCACCTCTTATGTTTGGATCTTCTGCTTACACAAACAATACATTGATTACGCGAACAATATATCAGTTACAAATCAGCAATGTAAAGTTGTTACCTAAGCGATGTGAGTTAATTGTTACATAAGCGATGTAAAATTGTTGACTAAGTTATTGTCTTGACAAGATATCCTAAGTTTTACTGATGAATAATGAATGTCATTGTAAAATCAATAAATGCGAAGAAAAAAAAACGGTTAACCAAAATTTGAAATTCAAAGCAGATTTCATTTAAATGTCTTGTCAAGATTTTTTGGAGCAATGCCCATTTTACGGCTTTGAGCTGGAATCAACCTAAATAATTACCACATACCAATCCGGTTGTACCAAAATTTGAAATTCCATCTGGAAAGTCTGGCAATTGAATTCTATTTTTTATCTATTCTTCTCTGGGAGAAATTAAGAAGATAAGAGAAAATGGCTGAGATTGCACTAACTTTTGTATTCGACCACCTGACAATCTTCCTTCGAGAAGAGTCAAAACTCTTGGGCAGAATAAAGGAAGAAGCTGAGTGCGTCAGAGATGAATTGGAACGCATGAGGGCGTTCTTGAGAGTAGCTGATGCAATGGAAGAGAGTGACCTTGAACTTTAAGTATGGGTTAAGCAAGTGTGTGAAGTTACCTACGACACTAAAGATGTACTGGACGAATTCATGCTCCGCCTTGCTCGTCATCATGGGGACAGATTCTATGGTGTCCTTCGTAAGCTTTCTCACTCTATTAAATACTTGAAAGCTCACCATCGAATTGCTTCTAAGATACAAATAATAAGGTCTAGAGTGAATATAATTGCTGAGTGACATTAGAAATACCGTTACAAATTTCCAAGACTGTCAATAACATGGTATGATCGTCGCGGTGATTCACTGCTACTGGAAGAAGCAGATCTTATGGCATTAATGGGCCCAAAAAGCAGCTGATTGTGTGGCTTTTGGGCAACACTTCAAGAAGTTTTTTTAGTTCTGGTAATGGGGGGATGGGAAAAATAAAGAAAGTCTATGATAATATCGAGGTGAAGAATCATTTTAAAAGCCATGCTTGGATCACTGTTTCACAATCCTTTGATCTCAAAGACTTAATTCAACAACTCTTTAATGAAGTCAAGAAGCTGGCACCTCAAATATTGGAATCCATGGACAACAATAATCTGAAGGCACAACTCAAGGATTTCCTCCAACCGAGAAGGTATGTGCTTGTTCTTGATGATGTGTGGAGTATGAATGCATGGGATGCTTTAAAATACATTACCCAACAATAATTGTGGTAGTCGAATACTACTCACAACGCGCATTAGTGAAGTAGCTTCTATCTCTTCCATAGAATCCCATGTAACATCTACACTATGGAGCCACTATCTCCAGAGGAGTCATGGACTCTGTTTTGTAGGAAAACATTCCAAGACAACAGCTGCCCTCCACATTTAGAAGAACTCTCATGAAGTATTTGTAAATAAGTTACAGATGTGGATCATCCTTCAGCTTGTGCGTGGTGGGGTTCCATTATTATTTTTATATAGTATTAACTACAAAATACTATAGACATATATCTATTATATATATTTATGACATGATTCAGAAAATATATTCTATAATATATATGAGATTAACTTTTGGGATTGGCAAGTGGGAAAAGGATGGACACATGTAAAGTTGATTGATGCCAATATATGACCTCTAGCAGTTAAACGTGGGAACAAATTAAACTGATTTGACTTTTTGGAGTTAGTACATTTAGTACAATAATATTTATATTCAGTATACAAAAAGAGTAACAATCAAAAGGGTGTGGATGATGAATTATGACGAGGAAGTGCGGATGACTCTCACCTGCAAAGGTAATTGGGTGAGTCTCATCCACGTGTCACTATAGGTAACATTCAGTTGCATGCTTGAAATCAAGGTTGTTAAAATCGGAATTCTACATAAAATCATTTTGGGCTCCGTAAAATCAGAATCGTAGAATCGGATCGAGAATCGTAAGATTCTACCAACTAGTGAAAAAAATAATTCAAACTAACTTGAACAATATAATGTGTAAAATATAACAAGAATAAGGCCAAAATACACACAATATATATATATATATATATATATATATATATATATATATATATATTAAGGTACCATTCCAAAGTTCAAATATAATATAAAAGAGAATGTAGCTCAAAAGGTAGAGCTCTCATGATAACTACGCAATTTGTAAGTTGTGAAGTGTGTGAGAAGATGAAGGTTTGAATCCTAATCCATAACATAAGTTCACAAATCCCAAATCCTAATCCAAACTTCCAACAGCTCCCTTAAAAGAAGAGAACACAAATAAAATAGAAAAGGAATTAAACATAGTTACAACACATAATGTAAAGAAGTAAAGAACATAACAGAATTAAAGGGTCAATTCTTCATGCTTAAAAAAAAAATTGAATTGGGGATTAGGGCTAAATAGTGTTTTTTTCTTATTTATATGGACTTTTTTTCGGCCCCAAAACTGTGGACCTTTCTTATTTAGAGAACCCAACACTTAATAAAGTGAACCAGGTTAAAAAAAAAAGCCCAAACAAAAAATATCTCAAAATCTTCTGTTTGCGATTCTACTATATGATTCTACACAGGGAGCGATTTCTATACGAGTTGACTCGTTTGGGGTTGGTAGGATCGTAGAATCGTGCAATTCTACAATCTAGGAGCACAATTTTGACAACCTTGCTTGAAATAATAGTAAGGGAGGAATCTGTCCATAGGACCATTAGAAGATATATATATATATATATATATAGAAAGAGAGAGAGAGAGGAAGTGCGGTGACTCTCACCCGCGAAGGTACGCGGGTGAGTCTCATCCGAGTGTCATTGTAGGCAACATTTAGTTACATGCTTGAAATAATAGCAAGGGTGGGGTCCGTTCATAGGACCATTGGAAGATATTTACATATATGTGTGTGTGTGTGTGTAAGTAAAGGAATTTATGATATTTTAGGGATGAGGAAATGGGGTACTCTCCCTCGCGGGTGTATTTGGAGAATCTTTAAATATGTTGTTCCGAAGGAAGGAATAAACTTATAAAGAAACTCTTGGTACATCCCAGAACGGAAGTTACACATTGAGGCAGCGATTATGCGGTTATAATATGTAGTTTTAGGTTGTCGGCAGAATTAAATTCACCAGATTCAAATATGTTTTTGCTTTATTCAAAAGTCATTGGCATTCCCTCCACCCAAAGGCTTACTGATAAAATTCAAGAGAGAATGGCTAAGAATGCAGTAACCTTCCTGCTCAATCACCTAACCATCTTCCTTCAACAAGAGTTAAAACTCTTGGGAGGAATAAGAGAAGATGCTGAGGGACATCAGAGATACCGTTACAAATTCAACATCTCAGAGCACAGCTCAAGCTCCAACACAGTCAACATCACATGGTATGATCATCGAGGTGATGCACTTCTACTCGAAGAAGCTGAGCTTGTGGCCATTGATGGGCCCAAGAAGCAGCTGATTGGGTGGCTTATGAAGGACACCCTAATACTCAAAGTTGTTTCGGTGGTGGGAATGGGGGGACGAATCAATTTCAAATCCATGCTTAGATCATTGTTTCTCAATCCTTTGATCTCAGAGATTTAATTTGACATCTCTTTGATGAAGTCAGGAAACCGGATCCTTAAAGATTGGAAGCCATAGACAACAATAACCTGAAGGCACAACTCAAGGACTTCCTCCAACAGAGAAGGTACGTGATTGTTCTCGATGATGTGTGGAGTATAAATGCATGGGATGCCTTAAAATATGCATTGCCTGATAACAATTATGGCAGTCGAATACTGCTCATAACACGCATTGGTAGTGTAGCTTCAACCTCTAGCGTAGAATCCCATGGTAACATCCATGCTGTGAAGGCATTGTCGCCAAAAGAGTCTTGGATTCTATTTTGTTGGAAGACCTTCCAAGAGAAATACTGCCCTCCACATTTAGAGGAACTCTCACAAAGTATCTTGGAAAAATGTGTGGGCTTGCCCCTTGCAATTGTGGCAATTAGTGGTGTTTTGGCTACCAAAGACAAGAATAGAATGGATGAATGGGAAATGGCTATGCGCAGCCTTGGTGCAGAATTGGAAGGAAGAGACAAACTTGAGAGTACGAAATACTTTCTTTCAGTTACAATGATTTGCCTTATTATCTTAAAATTTGTTTCATATACTTCAGCATATTACCAGAGGATTATCATATTAAGATAATGAAATTGATTCGGCTATGGACTGCGGAAGGATTTGTGGAAGCGAAAGAAGGGATGACTTCAGAAGAAGTTGCTGAAGGCTACCTTAATGAGCTTGTTAATAGAAGCTTGGTCCAAGTGGCAATGATATGTTATGATGGAAGGCTTAGAAGGTCCTGCATCCATGACCTTTTTCGTGAGATTATTATTTCAAAGTCAATAGAACAAAGCATTGCAGCGATCGTTAGTGAAGAAAACACAAGGTGGCCGGAAAAAGTTCGCCGCCTATCAATCCACTATACCTTGGGAAACTTGCAGCAAACAAATCATTTTTCTCAACTTCGATTGTTGCTAATGTTCAAAGTGGCAGAGCCTCTATCAAAGTCATCAATGCCTATATTATTCAATGGTGGTTTGATGTTGTTAAAGGTTTTGGACCTGAGAGGTGCTTCTTTAGAGACAGTTCCAAATGAAGTAGCCAAATTATTTCATCTACGGTATTTAAGCTTGAAGAGAACTGACGTGGTAGGTGACATGGCACAACTACTAGCACCGTTGCAGAAAGTGTCTAACGTTGCACCAATGTTCACATGTCAGGTGACGTAGGGTGGATCTGTGAAAATCTTGGAAGTAGATGCGGAGCATGAATAGTTTGACGTTGCCAACCCCTATGGTAACTACTATAAACTGATGGGTGATAAATTTGTGAAGATTCACCATGTTAAAGGCACATGTGAGCACATGATGACTACTGATGGTGCGTAATGGCACGGTGTTGGAGCTGATCCGACACGTTGAGGTGTGGGATTACCACTGGTGCACGTGAAGGCGCATGGAAGAATGGGATTACCACTTGAGGCGCATGGTGGTGCAGTGACGGAGCTGATCCAATACGTTGAGCATCTATGATCGAGACATCGTTAAACAACGAGGCTTCCCTAGGCGGGGCTTCTCTAAACAAGGCATCTCGTTGGGTTTCCCGACGGAAGACTTAGATAACGAGGCTTCCCTGGACGAGGCATATGAAGATCTTTATGAAGATAATAGAGTGCGGAAGCGTGTTGGTTGACCGCCGCCGCCGAGGATGGGGCTAATGGTGCCATCTCTGGCGATGACTATGATAAACTGGTAGATTGTTTCCAAGAGATCGAAGGCTCTGATACCATGTTAAATACAATACAGAGTTCTATCTTTTGTATTTAACAAGAACAAAGATCAGAACTCTTACCAACTCCATTGGAAAACTTGAGAACCTTGAAACGTTGGATCCTAAGGACACCTATGTAACGGAGTTTCTTGTTTAGATCCTAAAGCTCCGACGACTTCGTCATCTCTTGGTGTATCGCTACACTTATGAAGCTTATTAACTTTTCCACGGGATACTTGGTTTTAAAATGATTGTGGGAATAGAAGGTTTGCCTTCCTTACAAAAAGTTTGTTCTATCAAAGTGAACCATGATAATAGTAGAATTATAGTAGGAGAGCTATGGAGGCTGACCCATCTGAGGAAATTATGTATTACAATGTTGAGAAGACAAGATGGGATGGCTTTGTGCTCCTCTATTGAAAAGCTGAGCAACCTTCGCTCATTGAATATAGGTTCAGTAGAAGAAGATGATATCATTGATATTCAATCTTTGTCTTCGCCTCCTCAATTTCTTCAACGATTCAATTTAGAGGGACGTTTAGAGAAGTTACCACACTGGATAACTTCTCTTCATAGCCTAACGAGACTATGTTTAGGTTGGAGCAAATTAATGAATGATCCTTTAGAATCACTTCAATATTTGCCCAACTTGGTAGAGCTTGAACTTCATTAGGCTTATGAAGGGAGGGAATTATGTTTCAAGACTAGAAGGTTTCAGAAGATAAAGATATTGTGGCTCATAAGCTTACAAGAATTGTCAATGTGGAGGAAGGCTCAATGCCACTTCTTCAATCACTATATATTACTAGCTGTGAATTGGAAGTGCTCTCGGGCATTGAACATCTAACCAACCTTAAATTCCTTTGCCTATATGATATGCCCGAGAAACTTATTATGGCATTGGATCCTCACAAACAAGGTGTGGATTACTGGAAAATAGAACACATTCTCAAAGTTTGGATTGGAGCTTTAAAAGATGGTAATTGGGAAGGATATTACCTATAGTGAGAGAACAGAACGACATAGAAATAGTCACATGACCAGGTTAGTATGTGTGTGTATATATGTGTTAATTTATTTATATGCATACGTGTATATGTTTGCACATCATTTATATGATATTGATTGTTTTCAGTTTCAATAGCAAATGAATGGTAAGTTTATCAAAATATATTAAAATTAGAATTGGAATTCAATAACAAATCAATTCCAAAGTTGATTTAAACGATGAATTTGGGATTACATTGTTGAACTCCAGTTCAATGAAATTGCAGTTCGAATGTAATTTCAATTCTGCATAACTAAACACATGCTTAATGAAAAATGATGTTGGAGTGTCGTCTTGATTGCCCATTAAACCTAATAGGATATATATTTAACTTTCTCCAAGTATATGTTTTTTAGTTTATTTCCTCAACCTTAACATCTTAATATACTTGGAATATGACTATGAAAATGACATTGTCTCAGGAACAGAAGTTGTGGAAAGAAGGTATTGCATTGGAATTAAAGGATTCAACATTAGCCAATTCGTGTTCTGTACACCAGTTGTTGAGAACTTCATGTCCTTTTCGTGCTCCAAGTATTTAATTTGGCAATAGCTTTGAGTATTTTATCTACTTTTGTTCAGAGTTGGAATATACGTAATAATGGAAATCTATATTTTCATATTTTGAGAAGCGGTAAGATTAATCGTTCTGTGGGATTTAACCTTGGATGATGCTAAAGTTTGCTTTAAAAGTGTGCTGCTTCTTCTTGAGTTGTTTCCAGGAGCGGCCAGCATGCTATTCTATCTAAGTCATCTATCTTTGAGTGGTCTGTTATTCCATCTCCTGTGGGAGATTCTCTGTTTGTTTTTCTAAATAATACTAATAATTGAAGCTTGTTTAAAGTCACTATGATAGTAGTCTGCAGCTACATACATACATGATCATTATGAAAATCATGTAGTTCTGTTTACCATAGTTCACTGGGGAATGTTATGAAATAAAGAAATGATTGATATTATTGCAAAGAGGGTGGGGCGTGTGTTCCTATCTTTGCAATGTTGTTAATTGGATGAATTTGGCACACAGAGAGACCGAGAGGGGCGCGGGGAAGATAGAGTTACTATGAACATGAATATTTGAGGCAAAGTTGTTTCCGGCTGCTTCTTATTAGTGCCTAGCTTTGGACTTATGAGGCACATTTAAAAAGTGACCCAATACAGCTTCGATATTGATTATTTTCACCATATTTTTGTGCATGTCTCTATCTTGCTTCACAGTTAGAGTTCCAAATGAAGCCAATCATCTGCACTATGGCATTAAAACCCAAAGCAGGTTTTGAAGTCAAGTTGTACAATGAGGTCCATAAGTTGTATTTATGCCTATATTTAAGAATTGTTTTGTGGTAGCATGACAAATCAATTTTAGCCATCACTTTAGCGTGCTTATTTAATCTAAAAGAATGTTATGCTCGAGTCTTTTGAGTGTTGTTATTTCCTTATTATACCAATTGGATAAATTGATGTATCTCAAGATCAAGCCTAAGGTTCCAATGAGAATGTGAAATGTTTTTTTTTGTCCAGAAGTTAAATATGATGCTAAAGTGTCGAAAACCCTAATGTTGCATTTGGTATGTAGGAATGGAGTGAAATGTAAATGGGAATGGAATGAGAATAGGAATAGAATGGAATGATTATTCTCATTTTATTGTTTAATTGCAAATATGAAATGTTATAAAAATTGAATGATAATAATCATTTGAGTGTTTGGTTGGACCAATTTAAAACCTAGAATGGAATAAATTTTAAATTCGACTATCCAAAATGCACCTCTTAATGACAAATAAATTAAATTAACAAAATAACATTCTTTTTTAATTTCTAAAAAGAAATGGTGGTGGCAGTGAATGGTGGTGGAAGTGGAAGGCGGCAGTGGTGTAGGTGGTGGTGTTGGAAGCGGTGGTAATGGTGGAGGAAGCCGGTGGCAAGGCGTAAGTGGAAGGTGGCGGCAATGGTGGTGATAATGGTGATGGTGGTGGTGCCAATGACGGTGGTAGAAGACGGTGGTGGAAGGCGGTGGTGGTGGTGGTGGTGGTGGTGGCAATGACGGTGGTGGAAGGCAGTGGAGGTGGAAGACGATAGTGGTGCCCATGATAGTGGTGGTGGTGGTGGAAGGTGGGAGTAGTGGTGGAAGGTGGCAGTAGTGGTGGTGGCAGCAATGACGGTGGTGAAAGACAGTGGAGGTGGTGGTGGTGGTGGTGGAAGGTGATGGTGATGGCGGTAGTGGTGGCAATGATAATGGTGGTAGGCTAACAAGAATCAAACAACCAAAATTTATTAACTGATCCAATAAGTGGATTATAAATTTATAATGTAACAACAGAGTTCAACAAACCGGAACCACAATTGCAATTTCTTTTTTTAGAAATAAAATTTCAGAAACTCATCAACAATTCCAAAATTAAAGGTTTATAGTTTCACATCTTGACCTAAGCTAACCTAACTACAAATCAAATCAGCAAATGGTCCGAATCTACCGAAAAGAAATTATAAAATTCCTAAACAAAATCGAGTTAACCCCAATTATCCAATGACAAATAAATGGGTGAAACCTTATGAAAGTTTCCTAGTATCTAATTTTAAATTAAGCATAGCTTCACAAATCAAGTATTGCCATCTCAGAATTTAGCACCCAATAGAACCAATAATGAAAATAGGTAATTTATGTTGGGTCAAGTGCAAAAAACACCCCTATAGTATGCATGTAGTGCATATTACACCTCTCTAGTGTAAAAAACACTCCTAAACTATGACATTTGTGCAAATTGGTCCAATTTATAAAACTTGGACGAAAATGCCCTTAGTAACACATTTTATAATATATATATATAAAAAAATATATTTTGTGAAATTGGCCCTTCTTCTTTTTCATCGTTACTGCAGCAGAGAGGGGAGTGTCCATTAAAACCGGCAAGCTACGACGGTTTAATATTAGGAAGATTGCTATAAATTCCTTAATTCCGAGTTTGCACCATAGGAAAAAGAGGCATGGTACTGTTGCTCAAAATTAACACCGAATCCGACAAGAACCTTTCTGGGCTTGATCTCTCTGGCGTCCTCGTCGCCGACGTGGGTCACCTCCGCTACGTCCTTAACCTTCTCTGGTCCACCGTTGCCCAAACATCATTGCCAAGTTCCTCATTGTTCGTCGGCACTATCAGCGCTCGGCCAACCTCTGTCCTCAGTCGTCTTCTTCCTCAAATCGCAGACCCATGCCCTTACCAAAGTCAATCACGCTCCACGACAGCATCGTCGTCGTGAACACTATCTCACCTCAGCTAATCTGGGATAAAAATAGTAAAATAATTTTTAGGAATAAAGAGCAAAATCGGGACTATGTATCATAAATAACTTAAATTGTCCAAATATGGTCCTCATCAAGATAATGATTCATTTGAGTTTGAGTAGAAATAAATGATTATCCTATATAAAGAATTATGTTATCCAATATAATATTTATTTACACATACCTCTGCTGAGATAATATCAGTTAAAGAAATTTACAAGTTTAGAAAAACTGTACATGTGTAACCTAAGGAAATAAAAACAACAACAGCAATGACTTTGTTTTGT